AAAACAATGAAATTATCAGTGTTCCACAAAAGACTGTGAATTTTGAAATAATGTAATGAAGTGGGTGATGATAAACCAGTTACTTTTATAGACAATTATTTTACAAACATACAACCACTGATATCCTATTCTTAACCTTAAATCTCTTTTTTTTCTGTTTTAAGTCAAAAGCATTTAATTATAGAAAATCACAAACAGTAGCTGTTAAATTAAAACTACAGATTTTATAATAACAAAAAGTTTTTATGTCATTACACTTTGAAGGATGAACCCAATAATAATTATTATTTTACGCTACAAAAATTAAACTCAAATTCGTGGTACTATTACACTATATTTTAATTTATTTTTTTACTTAAAAGAGGAAGATTAAAGGATTTAGATTAAAGGATCATAAATCCCTAACGATTTATGATTTACTCTCTCAGTAAAGTAACATTAAAAGAATTCCAAGTTTTATATTTGTTTTTGTGTATCTCTTCCTGTGTTATATCTTGACAGCATTACACTCTCAATCATTAGATGTATGAGAAGGAAATAATCTCAATTTCTTTTTTAAATCACAGTTAAGTATCGTATACTTTTTTTAAAATAATCATTTATTTAAGAATTGAAAAAATATGCTAAAGAACTTAGAAAAAAAATCGATAATTTAGATCAGTTTTCTACTGTAAACACAAAAGACTGTGTCTGTATCCTTTTTTTATTGTGAAGGCAATGCTATATTGAGCAATGCGTTGTGTTACCATTCATATGAGATTGTACAATATGTGGGTTCAAAGTAATGTTTGCAACGGATAAACTTAATTACAACTCAAGTTTCGTGTAGCTCTAACGGTAAATTATAATCAGCTTAAGACTCTCTCATCCATCTAAAGGGTAGAGACAGTCTGGTAATTTCATCTGTAGAGATAGAATAATCAGCACTTAGCAACAACCACTGTGTATTTTTTTATTAAAATAGGAAACAAGAATTTAATTGCAAACTAAGTTTTGGTTAATTAATGTCGTCCGGAGAAAAATCTGTAGAAAAACAAAATTGTCTGCCGGTATTTTTAATGTACTGTTTAGAGCTTCGAACATTAGCGTTTATGTTAAACAAAAGTATTGTGTTTTACAAATGTAAGTTGTTCGAAAGAAAACAAATTACTAAGATAATTAGGTAGACATTTAGGTAACCGTAAAGAATGGTACTTTGTAAAAGTAAATTATTAAGTATTAAAACGCAGGATTACATTCGAACTTTATTGCATCAAACAACATTTACAGTTTTTTATTTAACATTAAGTATATGTGTGATTATTAACTTTTACTTGTTTTTTTAAAGCGCAGTTAATAAAGGTTTAATTCAATGTTCAACCCTCATGTAGTTTATAGTTTAAAAAACAAATAATTTGTATTAAGCAAGAACTTAGCTTAAATAATAAAACCAAATTCTTGAGAATAATTTTCATCAGTAATGTGTTCCGTGGATAATATGATAAACATAGATACCAGGTTATTTCAAGAGTAATGTGTTTCGTGGATAATATGATAAACATAGATACCAGATTATTTCAAGAGTAATGTGTTCCGTGGATAATATGATAAACATATATACCAGGTTATTTCAAGAGTAATGTGTTCCGTGAAAGTTCCGTGGATAATATGATAAACATAGATACTAGGTTATTTCAAGCAATATTCTGAAATATTATGTAATTTGTGTTTTACAGTAGCAGCAGTCGACAATTTTACGATTCTATAAACTAGATCACAGCAATGTTTTGGAATTACTTGAATAAACTTAAAACTGAAATTAGATTTGATGATTTCAACCATTTAACGCAGTACATTGCAGTTCAGAATATACACATCTTTGTAGCATTAGAAATGGCCCAACTTAAGAAACTAAACAGGGTAGAAAAATATTATGGGCTTGGAGATAGTTTTGTTGAGAATACCTGTAAATTAATACATTACTTATTTAAATATTCACAAGCCAGAAATAAATAAAGAATTTTGGCTGTGGATTTGTTTTTTTCTTTCAATAGAAATAAATTACATCTTGCAAATATTTTTGCTCCTCTTGAAATATTTTTACAACGGTTAAAGAAAGAAAATATTTACGTAAATGGGAACAGGTCATCTGATAACATTTCCAATGACATTTAAAATTTGGTCTTTTGTGTTTCATTTAGATTGAATGACTTTCTACATAATTTGGTAAAGACCTGGCAAAATCAGTTATATGGTTATTTTGGATAAATATTGATACGTAGATAAAAATCAGCCAGATTCTTTTAGATAATACAAGATTTAAATAATTGAATTCTTATCCTTATCTGAGAAGAGTGGGTAAATTAAAAAGACATCGATTGAAACTTTGAAACAATAGAGTCATTTATGAAAAGGTTTACTATAACATTAGACCTATAGGTTCGCGGTGTGGTATTCTATATGAATTACCTAAAAGTCGTACAATTGATTGTCTCATTCAACTCATCATATCTAACCTAGGTATATATACGTATATAGTCATACACCAGCAAACGCTTTGGTTGGTTTAATAATAACCTTCACCACTAATGAACCCTCAGTTAGAGGTAGTTTGACTTCTCTGTGTATATCACAAGCAATTAATCTGTGTGACAAGTTAATTTTTGAGACTTTTGAACTGCTTCATTTTGCATATTTTCTCTTTCAAAGAAAATTTTATGACAAAAGAAATAGTATACTAATAGGGTCTAAATTAGATCCTTGCTTAGGTTTTTTTCTCTCTTTTACCCTGAGAAATCGTGGTTATGATGGTAACAGCATATTGACCTGATCGGTGATCATTATTCATGGCCACAATGGCCGTTATATACTACCACTTGGCACTACTTTGAATGTCATTCAACGTAGGTATACAGTCTGAATCCGTATGTAGGTGCAGTTAGCCAGATTGTTATAATAAATGGTAAGGTGTAAATCCACCACGCTCAGCTGATTATTATATTCTTGGAAGAAAAGAACATTGAGAAAATGAGCTGACTATTATGCTCATTGGATCTGAATCTGATTGAACGTTCACATAATTTCTGTGAATATGGTTACCTGTTAGGTGATTAATCTCCTAACAGTGTTGATGAACTAGAAACAGTTTGGATGGAGAAGTGGATCATAATTAATCCAGCGCTTCATTGATTCACTCACTATAAGCAGAGCACATCTCTGCACTATTTCTATTGAGGTATAAAGTGACCATATACCTTTTTTCACTTACTGAATTGTAAGGTTTTTTTTAATATCAAAAAATCATTTTTGAACTTGAAATCTAATTGTAAACATTTTCATATGATATCTCATGACTGGTGTTTTTTGAAACTTGTTATTCGTAAAAATTTACTCAAGGGTTTTATTGATATTATTTAAAAACAGTAACTGTGCCTTGTTTTAGCTAGAATATACAATCTCCGATTAGTCCTTAATTGTTTTAAGCAGCGTACTTGAAAACAATTATTTCTTCCATAAGTATTTAATTGGAAGTCTAATGAGAAAGAGAGTTGTAGTTGTTCGTTGATGGCTTGTTGAATCTTTTGTTAAAACTTATTCTTCAGAGAGTGGCCCGGCATGGCCAGGTGGTTAGGGCGCTCGACTCGAAATCTGCGGGTCGCGGGTTCG